CCTGTAGTCCCAGCTACTCGGGAGGCTGAGGTAAAAGAATCACCTAAGCCCGTGAGTTGGAGGTTGCTGTGAGCTGTGACACTACAGGACTCTACAGAGGGCAATAAAGTGAGACTCTGTCTCTAAAAAAAATAATAATAAAATAAATAAATAAAAATTAAAAAAAAAGAAGATTCTCCAGGTCATGATCCGGGCCTAGAGCCAATTTCTGGAGTTTTTTTCAAATGTCTGGGGCCACCTGAGTGATAAATTTATCTTTGGAAATAATTTGACCCTCTAAGGAGTCAGTTTGTCAACTGAGTGTGTTTTCTCATCACTTCCCTAAGCCGCTCCAGAAAGGCTGAAGGACTCTCATTTTGCTCCTGGTAAACAGTGGACAACTTAGAATAGTTCACAGGCTTTTTCTTGGATCGGCTCAAACCTTCCAGGACACACGTTAGAAAATATTTACATCACCAGTCACCTTGTTTCTCAGGGTCCCATTCGGGACCCTCGAAGGGAACTGCCTGTCTTCCCGTGGGGTACCTGTCCCTTTCCTCAGGAGACATACTGCCATCAGTACTGAACATGATCACCCCACTTCCTAGCTTCATCTAAGACTTCATTTTTCTCACTAAAAGTTAAGGTTTGATCTAGTAGTCGCATTACATCTCTCCAAGAGAGGTCAAAGCTTTGTCCTAACTCTTGGAGAACATCTCTGTACCTATTGGGTCATCAGAAAATTTTCCTAAATCAACCTTAATGTGTTTTAAATCTGCCAGAGAAAACAGAATGAATACTCGCCCACTTCCCCTCTCACCACCAGCAGTCTCAACCAAGGGACACATAGAAGGATATGGTTGCCTTCTGGGGTCCCCAGGGGGACCAGAAAAAAACTCTTGGGACAGCCTCCCTCCTGGGGTTTCTAAACTCACGGAGGAAGGTGTGGGAGAAGTAGATGGCCGGTTTGAACTAGGTGGTGACAGAGTCTCTCAGGAATCTCTGGTCATTTGGGGAAATTATTATGGCCAGGAAAGCTTAACCTGACAGGTTTTACACAGTTGGGGCCTGTCCCTGAGGAAAAAGAAAGCTGGCACGTAGGTAATTCAGACCATTTCCTTTCTTGTTTACCATAATTTGGAGTAACTACCTTCTGGTAGTTATCATTCACCATGGGAGAGTCGATAGTAAGGCCAGGCCTGGGTGCAGAAGAAAACTATATATTCTTTTTTCAGCATCTGGATCAAACATGTCCCAACATAGCCTGGTGGGGTGTTCCGGCAGCATAGGCTGAAAAATCAGGTATGCAGGAACCTGGTCCCACCTGATGACAGTTCTCTTGACAAGAGAACATTACCTGGGTGTTCTCTTAAAGAGAGTACGTTACCCATCTGTGGGAAAGAACAAAAGTCCAGCGTTTTAATCAATCCCACTCTGCATTCCTGGGTTGTCAAAGCGTCCTCTGACCAACCCAAGAAGCCTTCCAGGCAAACAAAAGGAAGTGTCCTTCCAATGCTTGGGGAAGAATCCCTGAGGAGAGGGTCCTCCTCAGCCCCTGCGCTTGTCTGGATTTAGCCACTCTTACCAGTATAGTGCTTTGTAATTGTTAGCTGTGCTTACTACTTGCCAGCAGTGCAGCCTGAGACATCAGGTATCAGGGAGCCTGGCCCCCGTCTGATGCAAGTTCTGCCCCTTTCTGTACCTGCCCCTGAGTATCAATCAAAGTGGGGAAGAACCCTGCCCTGGAGAAAACGGCTGTTCGGCGCTTGCACATTTAATCTTTTATAATTTCTACAAGCTTTCGTTTTTTAAAATCTCCAGTAATAAAGGAAAATAGGCTTTCTGTTGTGAGCAGGTCTTAAATACTATGCTTTCCAACCTCCCTTTTCTCTCCCAAAAGTTAGCAAGGCAATAATAATTAAACTCAGTAACAAATCAGGGTTGAGAGACACTTTGAAACTTCTTTATCACAATTAGTTACAATTAGCCAAAGTCTTAGGCAAACCTGGAATTATTTTAAACTTTCCCATTTACACCAATAAACCAGAAGAAATCAAATACCCAGGGTCATTTTCATTGCCTTTGTTCCTTTTTAGAAGGCACTATAATGAGGGTTTAGGGCCATGCCTGCCTTGGGGAGTTGCCCTGGGCTTCCCTTCACAGGCTCCAGGTTGCCCAGAAAAGCCGTAGGGGGGGTGATCTCACCCCCCCTTTTTTTTTGGAGCTGACTTCTACTAATATGGTTTAGTGTTGTGTTTTTTTAACACACAAAAAAAGCCAATTGAATTTAATTTTGCAATGAAATGAAAAGCAATAAAAAGGACCTTACAACACACCTACAATAGCGGAAGCGCACTTAGAACATCTGAAAAATACCAGAATAGTACAAAATTAACTGAATACACAAGGCAATCCTTTACCAACATTTAAACAAAGCATGTAAACTACAGGGAGAGAGAAAACAGCGGCAGGGGTCTATAGAGATAAGTAGAAAAAGCTTAGGACCATGGAAAAGAAGAGCAGATAGTAGAGGAGCTGGGAGAGCATGGTTTTCAGAAGGCCCTGCAGTGTCCTGGGCTCAGAACCACTGCTGGGGACCCCGGACCTCTGGGTGCTTCTTTGCTCTGCTCTCAACCAGAGAAAAGAAGTAACGACAGACCGGTTTCAAGTCTCCTAACATTGCTTTGGCTCCTTTCTGGAGCCAAGGGGAATTAGAAAGTTCGTTCCCCAACAGCCTCTTGCCTGTGACCTGGAGGTCAGTAGTTGCACTATGCACTTTTACTGGCTCATGGGCATCAAAATCATTAGTCGCCCTTATTATAACTATAGAGAAAAGCAGGATAGAGGTAAGTGGTCCCTTTGCTTACCACAAATGTTCTACCCCTGTACGGGCCACTAAATATGATACTGTAATTTCATTTTCAGTAGGTTCTTGATCTAAGTCAGCAGTTCTCAAGCTGTGGATCGAGATCCACAGGAACTGTATTAAAGGGCCACGGCACTAGGAAGGTTGAGAACTACTGGTCTAGGTGATTTATAGGCAAAATGCCTCTGGCCAAAAAAGCCGTTTGAGAGAGAGCATGAAAAGACTTAGTGCAGGCACACCTGTGAGAAACTGAGGCAGAATGCCACGTGGCCAGGTTGGTTGCGGGCCTAGCATTCCCTTGGCTGGAATAGCATTTACTGCGTTAAGGAATTAAGGTTGACTTTATAAGGTCAATAAAAAAGCCCTTTGGAAAACTGGCCAGATACCCATCAGTAACCTTTCCTGATCTGTGGTAAGTAACGAAGATTGCTTGCTGATGAGTCCAGGAATGGAAATGTGCTCGGGGACCTCAAGAGAAGAGGAATTTACCCAATGCATACAGGTATCTAATGGCACAGATGAAACTTGGGCTCATGAAAGGCTTTTGAGAAGTCCAGCCTGAAAATTCCTTATAAAAGGTTCCAGAAAAAACCCCTGACTTAAGGCCTACAGGGGGGCAGAGATGTGCACACAAATTCCTGTATGCCCAAGAAGTTTCTTTATGCCTTGTTTAAAGATCTGAAGTAACAGCTTCCAAAGGGCCAGGCCAGCAAGGGTAGGTGTTCCATCTACCTTGTTCCTCCATAGCCTCAGGCATCATCAGATAAGAACAAAGAAAGTAATGGCTGACAACTTGTTCTCCATTAAGTTATGTTAAATTGGGTTAAGTCAAAAGGTGTATGTTGAGTGGATTATCAGAAGCTAATCACGAGGTCCTCACATGATGTTTAAATGGATCAATGAGGTCACTGCTATATTGTGCGCATGTACAAAATTCCCTATATAAACCAAGCGCAAATAAAGAAACTTGCCATTTTGCCTGAGGGAGCAGATGGTCACCTTTATGTAAAACGTAATTTCAATTAGCGTGCTTATTCTCTGCAACATCGCTTTTCTGTAAGACCTAACGGCAACAGTGATTCAAAGAATGGATCCACGGACAGATCAGTGGTAAGACTGGCTTTATTTTACAGAAAAGAATACAAAAACACCAAAGATCCTGGAAGAGAGAAACAACTCAAGTGGGGATGAGGGGGAAGCTCTCTCTCTGTCTCTCTGGCCTCTTTGTCCAGGAGTGTATATATGTGTTTTATATATATAGTTGCATGGGTCCTCTGTAGTTACATTTAGTCCACAGTAGCAAATGAATGGATTTGATCCCTTCGGTTCTCAGGCCTAGGACACCTACATGAAATTGACCAGGCCTGGGAAATGGGGGTTCCCTGCTCAGCGGCAAGTGCAAGGGAACTTGGGAAACACTAAGGTGCTGGTATCTCCCCAGCAGCTGTCTGGCCGCTCTGGCTACTGCAGGGTCCGCCTGACCTCCCCCCAGAGCCGCCTACCCTCCAGCCTGCTGGTTCCTCCGCCAGCTGCCACTGCACCAACACCGCCGGGGCGGAGGCGGCAGGTCCTCCCCTCAGCTCAGCAGAGCTGACTAGGGCACCACCTGTCTTATATTACCACGACTCACCGCCGGCGCCCAAGAAAACGGGGACTGAGAAGAACCACGCCAGCAGGCGCCACATCGACCCATCTCCCGGACGAGGGAGGGAGGCCCTGAGTCAGCACCAAGACCCACGGAAAGCTCCGACTCGCTCAGCGGGAGCCGCCACTAGGGGGCGTAGCGGGGCTGTGCATCCGCGCCTCCGGCGCCTGCGCTGGCGGCCAAGTCACGTGATCCGCCGTGGCCCCGCCCCGCCCGGCGTGCGCCCTGGGGTCAGGTGTGCGACCCCGGAATCTCCGCTACGGGCTGGGTGCGCGTGCGCGGAGGCGAGCAGAACGAGGGCTGCCGGGCCGCGCCGACCGGACCTGTGGTCCTGGGTCGTTCCGTTGTCGGCGGCTTCCTGATCGGAAAAGTTGAGCAAGTTATAGCCGAATCCGCACGGTGGCGGGTGAGGGGTCCTGCTGGACGAGGCCCCGGTAGGGTAGTGATTCCAGTAGCACGGAGGGTCCCAGAAACGTAGGTTCTCTGGCGTCCGCCCAGGCCTCCGTGAGGAATGCGCCCCGTACGTGCCGCATCTCACGGGAAAGGGGAAACTGAGGCCCACGAGGGGTCGCCTGACTTCCGCCGGGGCTGCCAGAAACAGGGCCGAACCTACGTGTTGGCGCCGTCCTGCGCCCGGGCAGAGCGGAGCTGGAGCCTCTGACCTTCAGCCTTGCCCCATTTCTTTGGGTGGTCAAGCTTGGCCTGAGCTGGGAACCGCCCCGTGTAGGGCCGGAGGCGCCTGGTGTCCGTTTCTAGGGTCTCTTTTCCTTTCCTGAAACTGGGGAGAATGCCTTTTGTTTGCTAATGACATGGCCTTATCTGGGGCATCTAGGGAGCATCAGGCCTGAATAGAGGGTTGGGACTCCCACCCCACCGCCAGGGAGGGTGAGGGACTGCAGATTGCCTTAATCACCAGTGGCTATGGTGCGTCCCTGTGACCAGAACACAGGGGTCAGAGAGCTTCCAGGTTGGTGAACAAGGACAGGAGGGCAGGCCTCCTGTACCTCTTTCGTCTGACTATTCCTGAGTCCTGTCCTTTGTAATAAACCAGCAAATGTAAGAAAAGCACTTTCCTGAAGGTCCCTGAATTTATAGCAGGTCATTAGAAGTACCAGTGACAACCTGGGACTTGTAACTAGCATCTGTAGTGGGGGCAGTCTGTGGGACTAAGCACTGAAAGGTGGGGCTTGTGCTAAATCTAGGTAGTGCTAAATTGAACTGAGTTGTGGGACACCCAGCCTACCCTGGGGAGGTGGAAAATGGGTTGGTGTGAGGCAGAAAACCCTGCATGTCTGGTGTCAGAAGTGTTGAGAGTGTCACCTGGAGCCCAAGTCTGTATAACCCAGTGTCACCTGGGCTCTACTGCCAAGCAGAACACTCCCAGCGCCCCCCCCTTTTGTTTCAAAAGCAGATCAGACCCCCTCAGGGCCCTGTGTTCCTGTCTAGTGTGTGACTTCCCCAATATTTAAGCCCAGTCTTGGTCTTGTCTCGTGGGAACCTCATGTCCTTGCCCCCGCACCTGCCAGGTGCGGCTGCTGTAACATCTGTTTCTCGTTTGGTTCCACAGGCTAGGAGGGGCTCAAGTCCTTTCTGGTAAGTGGCTTTGCCACCATGTGTCGCTCTTCAGCAGAAAAGGGTCTGAGGGAAGGTGGCAGGTTCATAAGTGTCTGCAGTTGCCAGAATCACTTTCTCTGACACCCGTTGGCCAAAACTTAACCACAGCCACAACCTTTATGCAGAGGTGGGGCTCCTCCACCTGCTGTTGTGACTGGTCCTTTCCCGAGTCAGCCTGTCCTGCTGGGCATTTTGTAGCACCTTAGAAGCCTTTTTAGTTGGAGTATTCTGCAGTCTCCTATGGAGACTCTCTTTGTCTTTTGCTTCATGCCCCCGCCCCCACTCTAATCCCGCTGCTGCACCCTGCCCAGCCCTCCTCACCTGCCCGTCTCATTCCACCTCCCCACCATGCTCCACCCTAGGCACTGTGAGGAGAGCAGGTGAGCGACTTTGAGTGAGGCACCACCTGCCCATCAGTTGAGCCTATTTCCTTCTTGCAGGCCCCCAGCTGCAGTCCATGCTGCCCCGGCCATGCATGTGAAGTGGCTGCCCCATGCCCGCCCTCTGCTGGGGATCTGCACCCTCATCTGTTTGGCCACTGCTGCCCTCCTGGGCCACATCCTGCTCCATGATTTCCTAGTGGTCCCTCAAGAGCTGAACAGCTTCTCCCCTGGTCTGGGGGAGACTCACCGAGCTGCCCAACAGGGAGCCAGATGGCCAGGTTCCCGGCAAGCCCAGGGGCCTCCAGGCAGTCCTGCAGCAGCACCCCCACAGTGCGACGTGCCCCCCAACAGCCGCTTCGACTGTGCCCCAGACAAAGCCATCACCCAGGAGAAGTGTAATGCCCGCGGCTGCTGCTACATCCCCACAAAGCAGAACCCACAGGGCACCCGGATGGGGCAGCCCTGGTGCTTCTTCCCGTCCAACTACCCCAGTTACAAGCTGGAGAACCTGAGCTCCTCTGAGATGGGCTACACAGCCACCCTGACCCGCTCCAGCCCCACTTTCTTCCCAAAGGACGTGCTAACCTTGCGGCTGGACGTGAGGATGGAGACAGAAAGCCGCCTCCACTTCACGGTGGGCAGGGCCAGGGCACTTCACAAGGGGTGTGCTGGGACCTTACTGGGGTTGGGGGGTAAGCTGACCCAGTGGCTCCCTCAGGGAGGTGGGGACACACCAGGACAGGTCCTCCAGAAGGCAGCACTCAGGCTCACTCATCTTTATGGAAAGGTAGATTAGGGGTGTTGCCAGATGTAGCAGATGAAAGAACATGCCTTTGAATCTGAATTCCAGATAAACAAGGAATTTTTTTTTTTAATCATTGTTGGAGATTCATTGAGGGTACAAAGGTTATACTGAATAATAAAGTCCCTGTTGCAGTTGTGTCCCGCCCCTAAGAGGTATACCATATACTGCGACCCCCACATCTTCCTCTTCTCTCTCTTCTCCCTTTAAAGTATCTTTTATTGTAAAACATGTAGTCATTGGGGACATACTTATGCTACAAAGCTATTTTTTGTTGATCTGAAAGTCAAAGTTACTGTATTTTACCTGGCAACCCAGGGGAGGGTCCTTCTGCGTCAGCAGAGGAGGAAACTGAGGCCTAGTGTGGGTGGCTGCTCCAGGCCTGCCCTGGATGCTGGGGCAGGATATGCTCTAGAGTGGGAGGTGGGCTGGGGCACTGGTACAGCTCTCTCTTTGTCCTAGATCAAAGATCCTGCCAAGAGGCGCTACGAGGTGCCCTTGGCGACCCCACGTGTCCACAGCCAAGTGCCATCCCGGATCTACAGCATAGAGTTCTCAGAGGAGCCCTTTGGGATTGTCGTACGCAGGAAGCTGGATGGACGGGTGCTGTGAGTGCCCATCTGTGTGTCCTCCCTCAGTGGGAGGGGTCCCCCACCTGCTGCTGACCCCTTACCCCATCATGGTCCACCCTCCCTACTGGGGCCTCCTAGCCATGCTAGGACTCCCAGCACATGCCCACCTGCTGCATTCAGGAAAACCTGGCAGTGTCAGGGGGCATTTCTTTGTGGCCTCAGGGTATGACTAGCACCCAGGGCCGAGACTGGGATGCTGCTGGATGTGCTCCAGTGGCCAGGGCAGCCCCCGCAGAGGGTCATCCATGGTGCTGCAGCTGAGAAACCCTGGCCCTTCTCCTGGTTGGCACAAGTAATTAAGGAAGAAACAAAAAGAAACTCTGGCTCAGTCTAAGTGGACACCCCAGTCCAGGTGTCCTCTCGTTTGGTTTGGGTTGTTTTTTTTTTTTTTTTTTTTTTGAGACAGCCTCAAGCTGTCCCCCTGGGTAGAGTGCCGTAGCATCACAGCTCACAGCAACCTCCAACTCCTGGGCTCAAGCGAGTCTCCTGCCTCTGCCTCCCAACTAGCTGGGACCACAGGCACCCACCACAACGCCCGGCTATTTTTTGGTTGCAGCCGTCATAGTTGTTTGGCCGGCCTGGGCTGGATTCGAACCCACCACCTTAGGTGTATGTGGCTGGTGCCTTAGCCACTTGAGCCAATGGCGCCAAGCCTAGTTTGGTTTTTTTTTTATCAAATGTCTACATAACACTTTTTATGCACTGGGCAGCGTAATTATTAACTCAATCCCTGTAACAACTCAGAAGTAGGTGCTACTACCACCTCATTTTACAGACAAGGAAACTAAGGCACAGTGCCCCAGGTGGCCCCAGTGTCCCTGCTGGGCTGGCGTTCCCATCCTGCTGGCCTGGGTAGATCAGTGCTACCTGGGCTGCAGCAGGAGCCCCATTTCCCTCCTAATTGCAGCCATGAGCCCTGGGTCACCCCACAGTGGGCCCTGGGCACAATGAGTGAATCGCTGGGTCACACCCTCACCTCCAGGGTAGTGTGGTCCCTGCCTCGCCCTACGCTGGCATTGGGTGCAGCTGAGCGTCCTGGAGTTGCCTGGGACCCAGCTACGTGGCTGTGACACCCATCTGGGACGGTATGGCCAGCCAGGCACCAACTCTGACCGTGGGCCTTGGTGCCCTCCACACCCAGTTGAGGGTGCCAGGCTTGTTGGACCTGGCGTGGCTCCCCAGCCCAGGGGCAGCATGTCAGAGCCAGCCAAGCCAGGTCAGCCTCCCAGAACGCGAGGGTCTGGGTGCTATCCGAGAGGCCGTCTGTGAGGGGACCTGGCTTCTGCCCTGCAGGCTGAACACCACTGTGGCACCCCTGTTCTTTGCTGACCAGTTCCTGCAGCTCTCTACCTCCCTGCCTTCCCAGTACCTGACAGGCCTGGCTGAGCGGCTGGGGCCCCTGATGCTCAGCCCCAACTGGGCCATGATCACGCTCTGGAACCGAGACATTGCCCCCAAGGTACAGGAGTGACAGCCACAGAGGGGGTGCAGGGTCTGGGATTGCAGAGGCTGAGGCACCACCTCCCCTGTGTCCCAGCTTGGCGCGAACCTCTATGGGTCCCACCCTTTCTACCTGGCACTGGAGGATGGCGGGTTGGCACACGGGGTGTTTCTCCTGAACAGCAACGCCATGGGTGAGCTGCTGCCTCTGGGAGAGCCCAGGTTGGGGGCTGTCTGCCTGCCTGGGGTGGGAGGTCATCCTGGACACAGGCTGGGTCTCCTTTTCTCATCTGGGAAATGGGTTCCATGGGTTTAGACGTCTCTATGTCCTTCCGTGCCCCAAAGGGGGTTTTGGGACCCTGCCGTGGAGGTCAGCAAAGGCCAGGAAGGAGAGACGCAGGTTCAGCTGCTCCAGCTGTGTCCTGGAGCAAGTCCAAGTCGGGCTTGACAGGGCTGCGCTCTCCCCAACCCATCAGGCCACACCTGCTCCCTGTGGGTAGCCTTTCTATGAGTGTGGGGTCCCTGGGTGGGGTGTTTGTCCCTGAGCCTCAGGGCTGCCTTCCCAGATGTGGTCCTGCAGCCGAGCCCAGCCCTCAGTTGGAGATCAACAGGCGGGATCCTGGACGTCTACGTCTTCCTGGGCCCAGACCCCAAGAGCGTGGTGCGGCAGTACCTGGACGTAGTGGGTAGGGCCTGCCTCCGCCCAGCCCCCACCCAGCCCTGCCTGCCACGAGTTCTGTCCTTCACTATGGTGTCTGTGACCTGCAGGGTACCCATTCATGCCACCGTACTGGGGCCTGGGTTTCCACCTCTGCCGCTGGGGCTACTCCTCCACCGCCATCACCCGCCAGGTGGTGGCCAACATGACCCGGGCCCACTTCCCCTTGGTGAGTAGGGAGGGCCGGGGAGGGAGGGGCCTGAGGCATGCGGCTCCCAGGCCCAGTAGCAGCCCCTGTACCCTGCTGCAGGACGTCCAGTGGAATGACCTGGACTACATGGATGCCGGGAGGGACTTCACCTACAACAAGGACACCTTCAGAGACTTCCCGGCCATGGTGCATGAGCTGCACCAGGGCGGCCAGCACTACGTGATGATTGTGGTGAGCGCCCTCCCTCCTCCCTCCTGGGCAGCGGGGCCTTCTGGTCAGTCTTCCTCACACCTGCGTGGTCCTTGGTGACAATTTCTGATAGAGTGCTGTGGTGTCACAGGTCATAGCAACATCTAGCTCTTGGGCTTAGGCGATTCTACTGCCTCAGCCTCCCGAGTAGCTGGGACTACAGGTGCCCACTACAATGCCCGGCTATTTTTTGTTGCAGTTTGACCAGGGCCGGGTTTGAACCTGCCACCATCAGTATATAGGGCCGGCACCTACCCACTGAGCCACAGGCACCACCCTTCTGAGGGTCTTTTTTATATCGAAGGAATACCAAGAAGTTTTTGGGCTTGGCCCCTGCTGTCCACGGAGGCTCAGTTCAAAGGTCCCTGGAAACGTCTTTTTCTCAGACTTCATTACTTATAGGTTACTCGACTTGCCTTAAAGCAAAAGGCAGGGGCACAATAAGCTGATGTCACTCAGCATTGGAAAGTACTAGGATTGTAGGGACTGCTGGGACTGTGATGGCCCCATATGCCCTGGCCTGGCCTCTCCTGCCCTCAGGCCAGCTCTGTCCCTGTGGAAAGGAGGGCATTTCTGATGGACAGCTCTTGCACTGGCACCGTGTAGCTGAGAACTTTCCTCAGCCACTCCCAGAGCAGGACTGAAGTTGCCCAGCGGAAGACAGAAGCCTCCCTGGGACAGCCCCTGCCAGGAGGATATGGTTTCTGGGTTGGTTCAACCTGAATCTGCATCCTCTTCCTGGAGGAGGAGACGGGAAGGAGAGGAGCTGGAAAGACCAAGCGGCCACCCCCTCAGGGACCCCTTCAGCGGAGGGAAGCTGCTTGCTACTGTGCTAGTGTCCTGCTTTTCTGTCACCACTTCTCTGAGAGCTGCAAACATTGGTCGCTCAGCAGGGAGCGGGATGTCTTTTTCACATTTTTTTTTATTATGAAAGAAATAACTGATTGCTGTAGAATCTTTGTGAAACTCCAGAAAACTTAAAGAAGGGGAATTCTCACACGCTGGTTCTCCCATTAGCCACTGGTCCTTCCCTGCCAGTCCCTCCAGGCAACTGGGTGACATGTGCAGGAACACACAGAGGTTCCCTGTGCACTGCCTGCCCCACGTCTGGCTCTCACTCACTAGCATTGCCTTGAGGGCATTTCCCATGTCCCAGTGGTGGTGCCGAGGCTTGGGGCCACATCCTTCCCCCCCATTGGCTTATCTCACCCCCAGGATCCTGGCATCAGCAGCTCAGGCCCCCCCGGGAGCTATAGACCCTATGATGAGGGTCTGCGGAGAGGGGTTTTCATCACCAATGCAACTGGACAGCCACTGATCGGAAAGGTAGGTGGGGGACTGGGGGACAGATGATCAGAAAGTAGAGGCCTCTGGCCAGTAGGAGGGCTGGGGGACAGATGGTCAGAAAGCAGAGGCCTCTGATTAGTGGGAGTTTGAGGGACAGATGGTCACTAAGCAGAGGGCGTTTGCCCAATGGGGGGGGGGTTGGGGGGACAGATGGTCAGAAAGCAGAGGGCTCTGGCCATTGGAGGGGTCCAGGGGACAGACAATCAGAAAGCAGAGGCCTCTGGCCAGTGGGGAGGTTTGGGGGATAGACGGTCAATCAGAAGGCAGAGGCCTTGGCCAGTAAGGACAGGATAGTTATTCAGGAAGGCAGAATTTCAGAAGCCGTCATATCGGGAGGGACAGATTGGGAGATATATTTGCAGTTGAGGTGATGGTGGTTACTGACAAGGAAGACCACCTTGAACTCTTCTACCTTGGGGCTGTGACTTCATGGGCAATGGGCCCAGGCCTGAGCTTTGCAGACCCTCTGTAAGTCCCTGGGGCCCTTGTATCTTCCCAGCCCCGGGGTCTCCTGACAGCTCCCAAGGCCTTCCTATTGGGGGCTCATCAGTCACTACCACCCCACCAGGGTGCAGGATGTGAGACTTGGTGCCAGGACTTGGGTGAGGTCCTCCTCCTGACATCTCTCTCTGGCTCTGCAGTCCAGCGCCTGCCTGGGTGGACACGTCAGGGGCCCCTTGCTCTCCCAGGGCCAAGTCTCAGGTTTACCAGTTTAGGCATTGACAAAGAACAGGGCTGCCCTGTTGCTTATGGCCGGGACATGCAGGGTCTCAGCGTGTACTCAGTTGGGGGTGGGCCCTGGGATCTTCCCTCTCTGGTTTCTTATCGTCCAGGTGTGGCCTGGATTCACTGCCTTCCCTGACTTCACCAACCCTGAGACTCTGGACTGGTGGCAGGACATGGTAGCAGAGTTCCACGCCCAGGTGCCCTTTGACGGCATGTGGATTGTAAGAACAGCCCCCCATCCAGGGCATCCTGCCCGCCCCCCATGCTCTGGTCAAGGATGCCCACTTCAGGGCTTCTCTTATAGGACATGAATGAACCTTCCAACTTCGTGAGGGGCTCTGTGGATGGCTGTCCTGTCAATGAACTGGAAAGCCCGCCCTATGTGCCAGGTGAGTCCTCCTGCAGCCTACCCAGGGTGCTGTCTAGGGACTGTTGTCTCAAATCAGGGCTTTCTGTACCTGATTTGAGAGGCTCAGCCTCTGATTCCTGAGAGGAGAGCAAGGGGACCTCCCCGGGCTGGGGATATGCTAACTGACAATGCAGACATGGGCAGGCACAAGCCTTGTTCAAGAAAGCTGTCCAGTGACATGTGGTGCAGCTGGGGGCAGCCTCTAGTCAGGGCCGTCCTGATGAGGACAGGGACCTCTGCCATGGTCTGGGCGGTGGGGGAGAGATTGGGCTCAACCCCAAATGCCACATAGGCAAGTGGGAATTTATAGCTGAGGTGTGGTGGGGTCAGTGGGTGGGAAATCACCCAGAAGAGCTGCTGGGGTTGGGGACTGTGGCAAAACAGGCCAAGATTCTTGCTGAGACAGGCCAAGGTGACCAGATATCCCCTGGGGTGTGGCAGAGGGTGAGGAAGCTGTCAGATATGGAGGGTGATGAGACACTGAAGATGGGGACTTCCTGGTGACCTGACTTACTGAGTTCTCTGCTAAAACCGATTTTATGAGGATGTGCACAGACAGGCCTGGGGGAGAGCCAGGAGCCTGAGACGCAGTGGCCATGCAGATGTGGGGGTTTCAGGGTTAGCTAAATGGGCAGGGGAATGCTTGAGGTGGGTCCGTAGATGGTGAGTGTGACATCTGGGGTCCGCAGGGGCCACCCTCAGTGCCCGCCTCAGCTTGTCTTTAGGAACGGTGGAGACTGCACAGGGAAATGCCTAAAGTCCAAGGGTGATACCGTGAGCAGAAGAACCCAGCCCGACAGGCATGGGAAGCAGCTTCAGGGCACACCTCCAGGGACTGAGGGCTGAGCCAGAGGAAACGGCCACTGGCAGAGGAGTTCCTAGGGTTTGGGGGTTACAGCAGGACTGCTGGCAGGGAGCTCCTCAGAAACCAGCCCCTGTCTTTCAGGCGTGATTGGTGGGAGCCTCCATGATGCCACCATGTGTGCTTCCAGCCACCAGTTCCTGTCTACACACTACAACCTTCACAACCTCTATGGTCTAACGGAAGCCATTGCCTCTCACAGGTGAGGCCCTGCCCAGCCCACCAGGCTGTTCCCCCTTCCCCTCCCCACACCCCAGCTGGGAGCTAGAGCCTTCGTTCCCACTTTATGCCTCACACCTTCAGGGGAAGAAGCCTAGTGTTGCCAGACAGGGGAATCTGCACCAATTGAGCGTGTGACCCCAGCAGGGGTGGAGGACACAGCTCTTCTGCAAGTGTAGTCAGGGTGGTCCAGGTAGTCCTGACATACCCAGGAGACAGTGGCAGGAATCTGGCCGTCCTCTGCCCCATCTTTTGTCTCACCCAACCAGCTCCTACTCCCAACTCTACCAGCTGTTCCACCCAGGCAGGTGGTGACAGGGTTCCGGGCTGGCCCCGCTCACTCAGGTGTCCCCTGTTTGCCCAGGGCCCTAGTGGAGACTCGAGGGACACGCCCCTTTATAATATCCCGCTCAACCTTTGCTGGCCATGGCCAGTACGCCGGCCACTGGACAGGGGACGTGTCGAGCACCTGGGAGGACCTTTCGTCCTCAGTGTCAGGTGAGCACCTGCCAGGAAGGGGCTGCCTGGCAGAGCAGGTGTGCCCCTCCAGGGGAGGCTAGCCCTGCTCCTAGCAGCCTGAGGCCTGGCCTGACTCTGCTATCCCAGAAATCCTGCTGTTTAACCTGCTGGGGGTACCCCTGGTCGGGGCTGACATCTGTGGCTTCATGGGCAACACATCAGAGGAGCTGTGTGTGCGCTGGACCCAGCTGGGCGCCTTCTACCCCTTCATGCGCAACCATAACAACCTGTACAACATGGTAGGCAGGGGGCGGGGGAGGAGTAGAGTGGGCTCCCCCAGACCCTTCCTCGGGAAGCCCCATCCCCACACTGGGTGGCCAAGGAGTGCCCAGTCTGTAGGGTACCTCTTTGCCACCGGCCACAGCCCCAGGAGCCCTATAGGTTCAGCGAGCCGGCCCAGCAGGCCATGAGGAAGGCCTTCGCTCTGCGCTACGCGCTGCTACCCTACCTCTACACTTTGTTCTACAAGGCCCATGTCAATGGGGAGACTGTGGCCCGACCCCTCTTCCTGGAGTGAGTGACTTGGGTGAGGGAGGGTTGGCCCCATGTGCCCATGACACCCAGGGCAGCCCGTCCTGCTGCAGGTTGCAGCTGAGTGAAACCCAGCCAAGACTTGGCCCTCCCTACCAAAGTTCCCCTGCACCCCCAGTCCTCTGGGGGCCATGGCTGGGGCATTCAAAGTATGAGAAAACCCAGAATTGGAGCACCAAGTGTGCACCAGGCCTTCCCAGCGGTAAGGCAAGTGCTAGAACCCTTAAGATTGAGTCAGTAGGGGCTGGTCTACAGGGAAAGGAGGGTGAAAGAAACCTCGGTATCCCTCCAGCAAGACTTCGTACACAGAGAAGTTGCTAAAAATGGCACCTCAGATCAGTGAATTAAGGGAGGGGATTCTCAAGTAGTAAGGTCATTCATGAAACGTCTGCAGTAATCAAGTTATTTTTCTCTTGTGCCATATACATGTAAGTTCTAGGTGGATTAAATAAGTACATAACAAGGCTCGGCGCCTGTGGCTCAAGCAGCTAAGGCGCCAGCCACATACACCTAAGGTGGAGGGTTCAAATCCCCAGCCCGGGCCCGCCAAACAACAATGATGGCTGCAACCAAAAAATGGCCAGGCGTTGTGGCGGGCGCCTGTAGTCCCAGCTACTTGGGAGGCTGAGGCAGGAGACTCGCTTGACCCCAGGAGTTGGAGGTTGCTGTGAGCATGATGCCACGGCACTCTACCCAGGGGGATAGCTTGAGGCTCCTATCTCAAAAAAGTAAATAAATAAATAAATATATATCAAAAAGTAAGCTGTGGAAAATCCCACAGGAAGGAGCAGGGACCACACATCTCCACTATGCTCTGACAGGAGGTGGCTTTCTAGAATCAAAGCAAAAAGAAAGGGGAAGAGATTTAATTTAGAAAAAAGGTAAAACTTTGAAAATTATAGAAAAAATGAAAAATTTTGAGTATAAAAATATTAAATCTGCTTCCAATGTAGCTTGTAATGGTAAACAAATTAGAGAAGGCATTGTCAATAAAATTACAAATAGCCACTCTTCCTAATACGTAAAGAATGTGTGCTGTGTTTGTAAGACTAAGACTAAGAAACAAATAGGCTGGGTGCCTGTGATCTTAGCACTCTGGGAGGCCAAGGTGGAGGATCGTTTGAGCTCAGGAGTTTAGAACAGGCTAACAGGAGTGAGACCCTATCTACTAAAATAGAAAAACTAGCCAGGCATGGGGTGGGGCTATAGTCCTGGCTATTCAGGAGGCTGAGCCAGGAGGATCTGTTTGAGGTTGCAGTGAGCTACAATAATGCCACTGTATTCTACCTGGGGCAACAGAGCCAGACTCTGTCTCCAAAAGAAAAACCCTACAACCTGTGTACTATTTTAATTACTTTGTAATTTCCTTTACCTATATTTTTTAGTATTTTTTTTAGTGGTTGCACTAGACATTATAATTAACATCTTAATTTGTAATAGCCCAGTTAGAACTAATACCAACTTAATTTCAATAGTATAAAAAAAACTTTACTCCCTGTATGTCTATTCCCCTTCTCCTTTGTGCTGTTGTCATCAAATCATAGCTTTAGGCTCAGAACCAGCCACATACACCAAGGCTGGTGGGTTCAAATCCAGCCTGGGCCAGTTAAACGATAATGACAACTGCAATAAAGAATAGCTGGCTGCAGTGCCGCACCTGTGGCTCAAAGGAGGAGGGCGCCAGCCTCATATGCCGGAGGTAGCAGGTTCAAACCCAGCCCTGGCCAAAAGAAATAGCTGGGTGTTGAGTTGTGGTGGGCACCTGTAGTCCCAGCTACTTGGGAGGCTGAGGTAAGACAATCGCTTACGCCCAAGAGTTTGAAGTTGCTGTGAGCTGTGACACTACAGCACTCTACCCAGGGCGACATAGTGACACTCTGTCTCAAAAAGAAAAAAAAATGTGTCCATCCACATGGATTTATAATGACTTTTAAGTAGAACAGAAGGGTTTACAAACAAAAAGTGTATTTATACCATCTTTTATATTTACTTAGTAGTTACTACCTTTACTAGCACTTTTTAAAATTTCTTTATGTGGATTTTAGTTCCTGCCTAATATCCCTTCATTTAGATCAGGACTCCCTTCCTTGGAGGGCAGACAGGTCTGCTGGTGATGAATTCTCTTAGTTTTTGTTGATCTGGGAGTTTCTTAGTTTCCCCTTCATTTCTGAAAGATTGGTTCATTGTAGAATCCGTGATAGGCCGTCACTTTGTTTCAGCACTTAGAGAATGTCATCCCACAGCCATCATAGTTTCTGATGAGTAGCTTCTGCCCCAGTTCTTTTGAGGTTCTTTGTCTTTGGTGTTCCAAGGTTTCATTGTGCTGTGTCTAGGTATAGGTCTCTTTGAGTTTATCCTACTCAAGTTATTTGAGCTTGAATATATACATTAAACAGGAAGTTTTCAGCCATTATTTACATTTTTGTCTGCCCTTTTCTCTCTCCTGCTTCTGGGACTCCGTTTCCCGTGTATCAGTGTGTTTGGTGGTCTCCCACAGGTCTCTGAATCTCTGTTCAGTTCTTCTCCATCACGTTTTCTTTCTGTTCCTCACATTGGATAGTCTCAATTGTCTTTAAGTTCACTGATTCTTTCTTCCACCTATTCTATACTGCTGTTGAGCCATTCTAGTGATTTTTTTTTTCATTTCAATTGTAGATTTTTCAACTCCAGAATTTCTTTTTTTTTTTTTT